GCTGCAACCCCCTCCGCCCTGGCGAGCGACTCCACCGCGCCCTTCCGTGCGACCTCGGCTTTGGCCAGGACGACCGCCGCAGTCGCCTCCTTGCCTTCTGCGGTGGCCAGCGCGGTGCGCAGCCTCTGCACGTTGGCCACCGCTTGGTCGTGCTTGTGATTGGCATCCCTCCAGGCCGAGTCGGCCTTGGTCAGCGTCGCCGCCGCGGACTGCGGGGGCGATGCCGCCTGCTCGAGCTCCGACAGGGACTCCACCTTCTGCTTGAAGCTCCCGCAGCTCCTCGTCCTGGGACATCTTCAGCGCCTCCATGAGGTGGTCCCGAACAGAATGAGGGTGTGCCCACGGCCTAGCCGTATCCTCAGTCTGCCACGCGGACACCTGCTGCTTCTGATGCGACTCGACGTAGTCGCTGAAATGCACTCTGCGTACACCTCGCTCCCGCGAGGCAGACCTCTCCGACTTGACGCCCTTGGACTGGTAGATGGTCGCCTCACTGGCGCACTGAACGCACTTGTTGTCTTATTTGCCAAGGATGTCGTTCCACTCACACCTCTTGCATTGCCCGCATCGAGACCAACGACGGGGAGAAATTGACCTCGACGCCGATCGTACCATGGCTTGAACTCCTGCTTTGGTCAGCCGAGAGCGGCCAGATCTGGGGAGCGGGGGCCTCGGTGTGCCTCAAGCACCGCGCGCAGGTACAGGAGTCAGCTCAAGCAAGCTTGAGCCTAGGTGGCTTGAGCCAAAATGGCTACGGAGGAGGAGGAAGAGGAGGAGGAGGAGGACGAGGAGGAGGCGGCGGCGGCGGCGGCGGAGGAGGAGTAGGAGGAGGAGGATGAGGAGGCGGAGGCGGAGGCGGAGGCGGAGGCGGAGGCGGAGGCGGAGGCGGAGGCGGAGGCGGAGAAGAGGCGGAGGCGGAGGCGGAGGCGGAGGAGGAGGAGGAGGAGGAGGAGGAGAAGGAGGAGGAGGAGGAGGAGGAGGAGGAGGAGGAGGAGGATGAGGAGGAGAGGCGGAGGAGGAGGAAGAAGAGAAGGAGGAGGAAGAGGAGGAGGCGGAGGCGGAGGCGGAGGCGGAGGCGGAGGCGGAGGCGGAGGAGGAGGAGGAGGAGGAGGAGGAGGAGGCGGAGGCGGAAGCGGAGGCGGAGGCGGAGGCGGAGGCGGAGGAGGAGGAGGAGGAGGAGCAGGAGGAGGAGGAGGAGGAGGAGGAGGAGGATATGGATGAGATGAGGAAAAGAGGAGGAGAAGAGGAGAAGAGGAGGAGGGGGGGGACATGAGGAAACTGAGGAAGAGGAGGACGAAACGGACGAACCATGTTAACAATAATACGGCTGATGAACATTATGTTGGGACGGCGAATACGAACAATAATGTCATCCATGGTATGATTTAACAAATTTCCAGGAACAAAACATAGTAATACTGAACTGACATATACTAGTAATACTAACATTAAAGGTGGATGACAACAATATTGCGAATTTGGAGAAGACCATTATGAAGCAACATATCACGAAGGCGATTGAGAACAATACTACGAATAATGCGGCGAACAAGTATACTATAATTGGTGATGAGAAGGGTACGAAACAATAACAATCAGAAACCGATGACACTACTCATATCACGAGTACTAATCAATGATAGCGATACTACTACTCATAATCATCATCGTGATCGTAATACCAGTATTAATGATCATATCGATCCGGTCGAAGGACCCAACCATATGCAGTGTGAGTAACGCAATTGTTGACATTGTCTTCGGTGGAGCGCCCTATGGGGCCACGAAGCATGTTAGGGCTGTGCCAACATGGGCGCGGTGGTGTCATGCAAACGCAGCCGTTGGGGCCTTCGGTGGAGCTCCCTATGGGGCCACGAGGCGTGTGAGGGGTGCGCCGGAATCTGTGCGGTGGTGCCATGCGACCGCAGCCACTGGGGCCTTCGGTGGCGCGTCCTATGGGCCCACGAAGTGTGTGAGTGTTGTGCCGAAATATGTGCGGCGGTGTTCTGCGAGCGCTGCCACTGGGGCCTTTGGTGGTGCGTCCTATGGGGCCACGAAGCGTGTGAGGCGTGTGCCGAAATGTGTGCGGCGGTTTCATGCGAGCGCAGCCGCTGGGGCCTTCGGTGGAGCTCGAAGCGTGTGATGGGTGTGCCGAAATGGGTGCGGTGGTGCCATGCGAACGCAGCCACTGGAGCCTTCGGTGGAGCTCCCTTTGGGGCCACGAAATGTTTCAGGGGTGTGCCGACATGGGTGCGGTGGTTTCATGCGAGCGCTGCCATTGGAACCTTCGGTGGAGCTCCCTATGGGGCCACGAGGCGTGTGAGGTGTGCGCCGGAATATGTGCGGTGGTGTCATGCGACCGCAGCCACTGGGGCTTTTGGTGGCGCTTCCTGTGGGCTCACGAAGCGTGTGAGGGGTGTGCCGAAACATGTGCGGCGGTGTCATGCGACCGCAGCCACTGGGGCCTTTGGTGGTGCGTCTTATGGCGCCACGAAGCGTGTGATGCGTGTGCCGATATCTGTGCGGCGTATTCATGCGAGCGCAGCCACTGGGGCCTTCGGTGGAGCGCCCTATGGGGCCACGAACCGTGTGAGGGGTGTACCGAAGTGGGTGCGGCGATGTCATGCGAGCGTAGCCACTGGCGCCATAGGGCCACGAGCCGTGTGAGGGGTGTACCGAAATTGGTGCGGCGATGTCATGCGAGCGCAGCCGGTGGGGCCTTCGGTGGAGTACCCTAAGGGGGCCACGAAGCGTGTGAAGGGTGGGCCGAAACAGAGACATGCGGAGGGCAGAGGCAAAGGGGGGGCAGCTGGACGAGGAGGAGGAGGAATGGGAACGCGGGGCGCTGTCTCGTCAAATCTAGGACCCATCACCACAGTATTGTTTGGAATTGTGGTAATGACTAATGATAATACGAATACCATTTCATAATCTTGCCAATCGTACTACTGATTATACTACGAACAAGAAGAAACAAAGGAGGAGGAGGAAGAGCAGGAGGAGGGGAGGAGGAGGACGAAGGGGGATGAGGAGGAGGAGGAGGAGGAGTAGGTGTTGGAGTTGGAGCTGGAGGCGGAGGAGGCGGAGGAGGAGGAGGGGGAGGATGAGGAGGAGGAAGAGGACCAGTAGTAATAATGATAATGCAACCTTTACTAATAATAACACTAATAACAGGAATGGTAATACTCAGCAGACAGTTATTAGTTTTGGAATAATGGGCAGAACAGTCATCATATTATTACTTGTCAAAACATAGTAATGCTGAACAAGCGAGACAATGAATTACATACTACTACTACTACTACTACCACTACTACTACTACTACTACTACTACGACTACTACGACTACTACGACTACTACGACTACTACGACTACTATTACTTTTTATTTTACTTGTACTTTTATTGTTGCTTTTACTTTCGCTTTTACTTTTACTGTAACTTTTACTTTTACTTTTACTACTACTACTACTACTACCACTACTACTACCACTACTACTACTACTACTACTACTACTACCACTACTACTACTACTACTACTACTACTACTACTACTCGTACTGCTAAGAATAACGTGGAACCCACTAAACATGATATCAACACGAATGCTATTACTAATGCTATGACTAATTCTAGGACTACTAGACACCATAACAAAGCACTTACAATAGTAGCAATATTAAGACGGAGTCGAATACTATTAATAATAACAATATACTTTCTTTCATAGTAGTAGTACTATTGATCATACTTGTAACAACAATCGTATTACTAATAACAGTAGAGATAATAGTACAATTCATAAGCAGTCATAAGAGCACGAGTGATAGTAATACTAAGAAGACTAATGCGAAACATGATATGACGAAGAAGAATAAACACACGAATCGGAGGAACACTGTTATTGAATCGCTTCGCTCAGTCCGCCGGCCCATTTCGCATGACTGAGCCTCTTGGGGCCGCTGGGGGGCCTCTTCAGCGTCGCTTGGGGGCCTCCTGAGGGTCTCTTGGAGGCTTTTGGGGCCTCTCAGGGGCCTCTTGAGGCCTCTTGGGGGCTTCTTAAGGCCGAGGGCTCGAAGTTTTGTTTTGTGTTCCCCTTTTGGGGCATCGCTTGGGGCCCTCTTGGGCCCCTCTTGGGCCGTCTTGGATGCCTCTGGGGCCGTCTTGGAGCCCTCTTGGGCCATCTTGGGGCCTTTATGGGAGCTTCTTGGGCCCTCTTGGGGCGATCTTGGGGGCCTCTTGGGCCGTCTTGGGGCGTCGGGAAGCCGAAAAGATGGACACGCCAAAATCTGCCCAAAACCTAAGGAAAAGTAATGGATTTTGCCTCTTGGGGCCCTCTGGGGAGCGCTCTTGGAGGCCTCTTGGGGCGTCTGGGGGCATCTTGGGCGTCTTGGAACGATCGTGTGGCATCTCGGAGCACTCTTGAACCATCTTGGAGGGCTCTTGGCGGCCTCGTGGCCCTTCTTGGGGCTTTCTGGAGGGCCACGGGGGCGGCGCCCAGGAGAAAAACCATCTCTGACCCGAGTCTGCCGTGGATCGCCCGGGGTACTTTTCGTCCGGGGATCCCCAGGGGCCGCCCCGCGCGCGCGAAGTAGAAGTATTATTTAGCAGTTACCGGAGATCTTAGCACGCCTCTGGCCCGTTGGGCCGGCGAATTAATAATCATACGAACGCGAAGAATAATTCTATGTGGGGGGAGGAGGAGGAGGAGGAGGAGGAGGAGGAGGAGGAGGAGGAGGAGGAGGAGGAGGAGGAGGAGGAGGAGGAGGAGGAGGAGGAGGAGGAGGAGGAGAGGAGGAGGAGGAGGAGGAGGAGGAGGAGGAGAGGAGGAGGAGGAGGAGGAGGAGGAGGAGGAGGAGGAGGAGGAGGAGGAGTAGTAGGAGTAGGAAGAGACGGAGGAGGAGGAGGAGGAAGAGGAGGAGGAGGAGGTGGAGGAGGAGGAGGAGGAAGGAGGAAGAGGAGGAGGAAGGAGAAAACGAGGAGGAGGAGGAGGGGCAGGTGGTGCCACGGCTTCGCCGCGAGCCCGACCCACCGGACGGTCCTGGGCGCCACGTGGCTGCTCGACCGGGACGTGGTGTTCGACCTCTCGCGGGGGCGGCTGGGCGTCGCGCCCGCGAAGTGCCCGCAGGGCGAGAGGTTCGCGGGGGGGGGTCCAGACATGTTCGCACCTTTAAAGCAAAGTCACGACGGGCCGTTTTGGGCAGTTTTCGGTTTTTGGGAGCCTTCGTTGGGCCTGGAGACTGTCAAGAAACGGCCAGGGATGAAAAACTGGCCTCGGGGAAATTGTACGGATTTCCAGAGACCCATGTTGACCAAAAGCAGGACATCGGATGTCTGGGGGAGGGCCCTCGTGCTGCCCCCAAGCGGGCTGCCTGCGTTGCTGCATGTGCTTGGCCGTCGTGCACCTCATCTTCTCTACACTCGCAACCCGTTGCGTTGCCCCCCATCGGCACACGCTCGGTGGTAATCAGCTTTTTGTCTTTTCGCGATCCGCTGACGCCCTCGCTGAGTTTGACCAGCCAGCCGCTAAGTAAAGGATGTCTGGGGGAGGGCGGGCCTCCCGCGACGCCCCTACCAGCCCCGAGAGGTACCGCAGGCTGCACGGAGAGGGTCGATGACGCGCAAGGGTGACCTTTCGCCAGGGTGCCCTTAGGTCTGGGCCCGCTGGGGTCCCCCGATTGCGATAGCAGCGGCTTGCGCCGGTTAGGTTTGGCCTCTCCGACGCCCTCTACAGACCGCGCACCAAATGCCTTCCTTCCTCAGGGTCACTCTCGCATGTAGCCGAGAGGGGGCGGAGGGAGGGACGGGCGCAAGGGGGACGGCGAGGTGGGAGGATGGCCAGCAGATCTCTCGTAATCGGGGGGCGGTTCCGGGCTACAACCCGGCCTTGAAGAGGAGGCAGGAGGGGCAGGTGCGGGGGCCCAGGGAGGAACGGACACATGCATGTTGACGTTTTTTCCCTCGGCGCGCTGGTGGCCCGCTGCGCCAGGGGGCGGCAGAGAAGCCTCAGGTCCTCAGGTCATTCTCAGGGGCGCGAAGATGGCCGCGCCCCGCGCGTCGCGGCCAGGGCCGTCGAGCTGGCCTTCTCCAGTGGGTGGCGCGAGGGCGCGAAGATGACCACGCGCCGCGCATCGCGGGGCGCAGGGCGCGATGTTGGGTGATCTGGAAATGGCTGGGCGAGGTCAGGAATGGGCTGGTCTGCAGGGCACGGAGCAGGAGGGGGGGGTGAACGGGCAAATTCCTCCTCCCCCGTCGATGTTGGCGAGGATCAAGGCCAAGGAGGCCAAGAAGGCAGGCGAAGCCCACCCCGCTTTAGCCTGACTTGTTCGTGTTCTCTGTTGTGGTTCGGTAGCGATCCGACCTCCGAGGCGCTCTTGATTCGATCGATCATGCCGCCCTGTTTGGCGTCTCGATTGGTCCTTGCCGCAGTGTCTTTGTGGCCCTCGCCTCGCCTCGCTTTTCGGGCTCTCGTCGGCCCATCCTCGTCGTCAGCGTCCAGCTGTTCAGGAGGTAGGGCTTCAGGCTAACCCACAGCTTTCTCGTCCCGCCCAAGTTCCCAAGATTTTGCCCAAAGCCGAGTGGCTGCGCAGCTGAGGTGCGGCGCTGTCCTTCGCCAGTCATGTGAAGCAACCCCTCATGCGTTTTCAGGCGCTAGACGAGTTACCCTGATCAAGTATGTGGAGGAGCACGCAGTGGAGTGAATGATGGGTGAGACGTCGTACCCCAACAGGGGGAGGATGGAGGAAGAGGAGGAGGAGGAGGAGGAGGAGGAGGAGGAGGAGGAGGAGGAGGAGGAGGAGGAGGAGGAGGAGGAGGAGGGAGGAGGAGGAGGAGGAGGAGGAGAGGAGGAGGAGGAGGAGAGGAGGAGGAGGAGGAGGAGGAGGAGGAGGAGGAGGAGGAGGAGAGAGGAGGAGGAGGAGGAGGAGGAGGAGGAGGAGGAGGAGGAGGAGGAGGAGGAGGAGGAGGAGGAGGAGGAGGAGGCGGAGGCGGAGGCGGAGGAGGAGGAGGAGGAGGAGGAGGAGAATGATGCTGATGCTGATGCTGATGATGATGCTGCTGCTGATGATGATGATGATGCTGATAACGACGATGCTGATACTGATTCTGATGCTGCTGCTGATCATGATGGTGATGCTGATGCTGATGATGATGCTGTTGTTGATGATGCATATGATGATTATGATGTTGCTGATGAGATGGAGATGCAGATGATGCAGATGATGCTGACGATGCTGATGATGATGGTGATGGTGATGATGCTTGTGATGATGATGATGATGACGACGATGATGATGATGATGATGATTATGATGATGATGATCATGCTGATGGTGATGCTGATGCTGATGATGATGACGACGATTATGATGATGAGGATGATGATGATGATGTTGATGATTATGCTGTTGCTGCTGCTTATGATGATGATGATGATTCTGATGATGCTGATACTGTTGATGATGATGATGCTGATGATGATACTGATGATGATGATGGTGGTGATGATGATGACGATGATGAGGTTGCTGATGATGATGACGATGACGATGATGATGATGATGATGATGATGATGATGATGATGATGATGATGATGATGATGATGATGATGATGATGATGATGATGATGACTATGATGATGTGGTACTGTTGATGATGATGATGCTGATGATGATGATGATGATGATGCTGATGCTGATGCTGCTGCTGATGATGATGATGATGATGACGATGATGATGATGATGATGATGATGATGGATGATGAGGATGATGATGATGATGATGATGATGAGGATGATGATGATGATGATGATGATGATGATGATGATGATGATGATGATGATGATGATGATGATGATGATGATGATGATGATGATGATGATGATAATGGTGATGATGGTGATGATGGTGGTGATTGTGATGCCGATGACGATCATGATCGTGCGTGCACAGTAATGATATCTAGATGGCCGTCCAATGATGACACGAATGAGCGGTTAGGTGCAGCAGTGACCTCGTGCCCGTCCTCCCTCGCTCGTAGCCTTCTGCTGTTCAGAAGGATCTGCCGCGCCTCGGCCTCCGTGCATGTCTGTTTGGCTCTCCGATCTGCTGGCGGACTCTGCGCGGGAGGCCGTGCGGTCAGCGGGCACCGCGTCCCTTGTGTGGGCTGGGCAGAGCGAGCGAGCCTGCCCAGACTGCACCTGCGCGCCCCATTTGGCGTGCCCTGCTCTCCAGTGTCCGGCTTGCGCGCTTCGGGGTGCGACTTGCCCGAGCTGCCCAGAAGTCATCTGCCCGCCAGAGGGGGCTTGCTTCAGTCGCTGGTGGCTCATTGTGGTGGTCTTCGCGTGCCTCGCGGGGCTGGCGGTCGGCTGCTGCGCAGGGACCATCTGGGGCGCGGGGCTTCGGCGGGTGTATGGCCGCGCTGGGCCCGATAGCACCCAGGCGGCTGGTCCTGGTCTGGTACGGGGGCGGGGAGGCGTACTGGCACGAACGCCTCCTGCTTTGCAAGGTCCAGGCGACGAGCTGGATCATCGCAACGCCTGGTGACGACGTGTATAAGAAGATCTCATTGCTCTCGATGCTAAACCGTGTGTCCAAGGTGTCGTCCCGCAGTCGATCCCGCCGCACGCCCTGCTGTACCGATTCTCCCCGCCCGGGCAGTTCCACACCAGCCAGGAGTGGCGAACATCTTCGACGAGGAGATCGCCACCGCGCAGCTCCAGCGAGCCGCGCGAGGGGCGGTCGAGCCGGGCGCTGGCGCCGAGGCCGTGGCGGTCCGCGACCAGGTGGCGACGCATGGCTGGCTTGCTCGCTCTGGTCTGCCTGGTGGGCCCGCTGCTGCTGCCGCGCCTCACCCTGGCGGAGCCCTCGTCGCGGCGCAGCTTGGAGGGGTGCCCGTGGCTGCTGCAGCGGCCCACGCTGGCGTCGTGGCGCCATCAGGTGGATCCTTGGCTGCGCCCGCGCCCCTGGCCGCGGCCTTGCCTGCCGCCCTGGGCGCCCCTCCCGCGGATGCGCAGTGGGTCGTGCTGGCCAGCGGTGGACATCTGGGAGCGCCGACGGTGCGGCAGGGCTGGAGCTTGGACGCCTGCGCCATCATCCAGGACGGTTTCGCCTTCGTCAAACTTGGCACGGCCCCAATCGTCCTCGAGCGCGTGGCCGTGGCCAAGAAGGCCAGCTACCTCGACGACAGGAAGAAGGGAGCTGGCGGTCGCCGCAGCTCCTGCACCCGGCGGCCTCGCCGCCGCTATCGCTGGGCCTCCGCCTGCGGTGCACCAAGGGGGTGTTCGGTGTTCGTGTGGGCGTGCGGTCCACGGACGCGCGAGTGCTGCCACTCATGTTGACCAGATGGGCCTGCGGTTCCGCCCGTGCAGCGACGGTGTCGGCCTACTGGGGCCTATCTGGAAAGACTTCCCCATCCAAGGGCCGAGGGTCACCCTCCAGCTCTGCAAGTTCATCTGAGAGCAGGGGTGCGCGCCGGGAGCCAGGGCAGAGAAGTGGATGCGCGACGCTCATATCCCAGACAACGACAGAGTCAAGCACGAACACGGATGCCTCATGGAGGTCCTTGAGTGGGCCACCACGTACGACCATATCGACGTGCCAGCCTTGGCGTCCTTCGAGCTGCTGGCGCGCCGTGTTCAGCTTGTGGTTGCTGAGCCCCTGTCAGCCTCTCCTCCTCCTGCGCCTCTCTCTGTGCTCCCTTGTGCGCCGCCATATCGGCTCAAGAGGGCCCTTGAGCTGTCGATGCGCGCCAGTGGCGGGCGCGCCCACGCCTCCTCGGAAAAGGACAGATCACGTACTCTCTTCTAGCACGTGCCCCCCTATTTGTACCTCGTGTCTCTCTGCGCCCATGCAGCCCCTCCTATGCAATCCACAGTGACAGCGGAACCCGCGGTTGAGATCCGCGGGGGGGGTCAGGGCGACTTCCCTGTAATCCGATTATCGTTTGACATACTCTTTCTCCAATCGTTTCGCTCATTCCGCCGGCCCATAGTGCACGATCGCTACTGCTTCGCCGTGGGCTCGGGGCCATTGTGGCGCCGCCGAGGAGGAGGAATATGAGGATGGGGAAGGGGAGGGGAGGAGGAAATGAGGATGAGAAGGAGAGGGGGAGGATTAATATTAGGGGGATGAGGATGAGGATGAGGATGAGGATGAGGAGGAGGAGGAGAGGAGAGGAGGAGGAGGAGGAGGAGGAGGAGGAGGAGAGGAGGAGGAAGAGGAGGAGGAGGAGGAGGAGGGAAGAGGAGGACGAGGAGGAGGACGGGAGGAGGAGGAGGAGGAGGAGGAGGAGGAGGAGGAGGAGGAGGAGGAGGAGGAGGAGGAGGAGGAGGAGGAGGAGGAGGAGGAGGAGGAGGAGGAGGAGGAGGAGGAGGAGGAGGAGGAGGAGGAGGAGGAGGAGGAGGAGGAGGAGGAGGAGGAGGAGAGGAGGAGGAGGAGGAGGAGGAGGAGGAGGAGGAGGAGGAGGAGGAGGAGGAGGAGGAGGAGGAGGAGGAGGAGGAGGAGGAGGAGGAGGAGGAGGAGGAGGAGGAGGAGGAGGAGGAGGAGGAGGAGGAGGAGGAGGAGGAGGAGGAGGAGGAGGAGGGAGGAGGAGGAGGAGGAGGAGGAGAGGAGGAGGAGGAGGAGGAGGAGGAGGAGGAGGAGGAGAGGAGGAGATGATGATGATGAGGAGGAGGAGGACGAGGAGGAGGACGAGGAGGAGAAGGAGGAGGAGGAGGAGGAGGAGGAGGAAAAGGAGGAGGAGAGGAGGAGGAGGGAGGAGGAGGAGGAGGAGGAGGAGGAGGAGGGAGGGAGGAGGAGGAGGAGAGGAGGAGGAGGAGGAGGGAGGAGGAGGAGGAGGAGGAGGAGGAGGAGGAGGAGGAGGAGGAGGAGGAGAAGGTGGAGGACGAGGAGGAGGAGGAGGAAGAGGAGGGGGCGGAGGAGGAAACCTCTCGTTGGCATCTTGTGTTGCACTTGGGCCAAACAGGGTCGTCGTCAAGATGCTTCTTTGGGAGGCCTCTTGGGATCTTTTGAGAAGAGGTTCGGGGGCGCTTGGGAGGCATTCTTGAAGCCCTTTTGGGCCCTCTTTTGGGCCTCTTTTGGGCCTCCTGGGGGCCTCTTGCGGGCCTCTTGGCGGCATCTTGGGGCCTCTTGGGGGCCTCTCGGGGCCTCCTGGGGCCTTCTTGGGGCGGAAAGCTAGAATTTTCGATTCGTGGTCCCCCTCTTGGGCCCCTCTTGAGGCCGTCTTGGGGCTCTCTTTGGCCGTCTTGGGCGCTTCTTGGGCCCTCTTGGGGCCTTCTTGGAAGCCTCTTGGCCCGTCTTGGGGCGCTCTTGGGGGCCTCTTGGGCCGTCTTGGAACACCGGAAAAGGCCCAAATCCTTCAAAGCCATTGTGAAATTGATGATTTTGGCCTTTCGGGGCCCTCTTGTGAGGACTCCTGGAGGCCACTTGGAGGCCTCTTGGGCCGTCTTGGGGTCATCTTCGACGTCTTGGGGCGTTCTTTGGGCCTCTCGGGGACCTCTTTGGCAGTCTTGGTGGCCTCTTCGGGCCCTCTTGGTGCGCCCTGGGGGCCTGAGAGGCCGCGCCCAGGAGGAAACCCATCTCTGCGTCGGACCGCCCGGGACCTTGCGAGGACCTCGACCTTGCCTGGGTTCTTGTCGTCCAGGGACCCCCAGGGGCCGCCCCGCGCGCGCGAACTAGAAATATGGTCAACCAGTTACCGGAGATCTTAGCACGCATCTGGCTCGGGAGCTTTGGGACGGGGTCAGGGCGCCAGATCTTGCAGGATCCTGCAGGGCCAGGGGCGCACTGACCCAGGCTTGGGTGCAGGATCCCGCAGGATCTTGCAGGATCCTTCGCGCTGGCCCGGGTTTGGGTGCAGGATCTTGCAGGATCTTGCAAGGCCTGACTGACCCGGGTCTGGATTGACCCGGGACAAAAGATCCCCGTCTGGCCCGTTGGGTCGGCGAATAATGTACCTGTTCTTCCCGCCCTCCGCCCCACTGTACCGGGCGCCGCCGTTGGTTATCTGGGCGACGCTCGGCTTCGAGAAGATGAATGTCCTGCAAATCCTTGGCCACAATCAGATCAGGATCCTAGGTCAGGGGCTGGAGGACGAGAAGATTTTCCTTGTCAGATCAGGAATGGGCTAGCTGGTAATCGCAGTCTTGGGCGGAGACGCAGACAAATGCCTGTGCCGGGACGTAGTTCGCCGGCTGCGCCAGATCGGCAGAGCGCGCTTCTGCGGGGGCAGTCTGCGCCAATGACTCTTTTCGTTCCGACCTACTGGGGAGGTGCCGCTGCCGGATCTTCCAGTCGCCAACGGGGGCAATTTCTTGAACCATCGGGGGCCCCAAAGATACCAAACGACCCGCCTCCCACTTGGGCGGCAAAGATCCGGATGCTCGTCTAGACCCTTGCATGAATCATAAAGGAACTGCAGACGTGGTTCGCCACTGCCAGAACTTCGAGAGCGCAGCGCGGATGCTCCATCTATCGCTGTGCCAAATACGGTCTCGAGATCATCATTGTCGAAATTGCCGAGGACGATTTGTTTTCGGAGGGCGGTGGGCAGCTTGTGGTGACATGCGTCAAGAAGGCTTCTGCCGAGTGCCAAGACCGTGGGATGCCGGGGGCTTTCGAGGAGCTTTTTTAATCAGAAGACACCAAGTGCAAGCGAGAGGAATCCCAGGTCAACTATATTGCGCGCAAGCGCGTGCTTTCCCGAGAAATCGAGAAGCACATTACCCTGACAGAAGATTTGAAAGGGTGCGTGGTCCTGAGAGAATCCAAGCTTAATGACGCTGCTTGGGATGCGGTTGAGCACTGGGCAGAGGGGCCATGCGACTTGGGCTTGGCGCGCGAAAAGCTTCGGAAACTTGAGCGACCACTACCTTCTGGCAAAGGCGACCATCGTACATGAGTTCCTCCTCGCATTTTCTGGATATCAAGGATATGATGGCGGATGCGAGGTTCAGGCGTCGTGCCGCGGCGATTTCCAATGGATTCTTATGCAGCGATCCTTGTTTACTTTGCCCGGGTCCTATGAGGAAGACGAGGTCGTGAATGAGGGCATCAAGTACATGGGCGAGGACGGTGTACGCCTCGTGGATGGGGACTTGCCCGGCGACGTGGTCCTAGACGAGGATGGGGCCATCGCCATCAATGTTAATTTTAGCCAGATGCGACAATACTGACGCAAACGGAAGTTTGGACGAGACCTTGCAGCAACCCCCACAGGGAAAGCGCAAAGGCCCCCGCAAGGGAAAACGTCGAGGGAACCGCGCTGGACATGCCCGACCGGAGCGGTGGACCAAAAGTAAGTTGACGAGTCGTTCGACATGTGCCCGATGTGGGAAGATGGGGCTCTGGGCTCGAGATTGTGCGACCGAACCAGACCAGCGAGGACGCAAGCGACAAGCAGGCTTCGGCGGCTTCCAAGCAATCCCCCGCGGAACAGATAACGCTCTGCATGACGTTTGCCAGCGGGGACCTACCATCCAGCCTGGGGTCAGTTCTATCAGCTTTCCTATCGTTGCTGCTGCCAACGCTGGAGGTAAGGCTTTAAGTGACTTCGGGTTCATATGGCGAGTCTCGTCCAAACTAGACCAACAGGCGTTGCGATACGACGTCGCCTTCACTATTGAGAATCCAGCTTCATGAATTCTCTGGCTTGCTCCATACAGCATGTCAGCAGTTCAAGACTGCCAAGTTCGTGATTTTGGATCAGTGCCAGTTCGGGGCCGCCTTCAGGAAGCGTGCCGGCCTTCTCCTCATGTCCGTCGATCTCGGCGATCAATTCTCATCCTTGAGGTGTTCGTGCAAATCTGGTCTCTACTCTCGTTCGGTCGGGCGCTCACGGTTGGAAAACATGCAGCGCCAAACGCTACCCATCTGAGCTGTGCTCTGTTGTGGCTAACACATTTCGGACACTGTGGGCACGAATGTGTATGGCGTGTTGTGCGATGATGTTATCCTCGCGATCGTTTTGAACGGCTTCTCCCGCCTCGTCCCGCCCAAGCCAAAACATTGCATGGAGTATGGGGCGCTCTTTCAATGGATTGTAGTGTGCGTCTGGTGGCAAACCCGGCAATGCATCGCTGTGGGATATCAGTGTGTTGGCCAGTGGGAAACATCTTGTTCGTGCGTGCGGCGTAGTGATATCTATATGGCCGTCCAATGACTCGAATGAGGGGTCACAGAACCAGCGGTGACCTCGTGCCCGTCCTCCCCCGCTCGTGCCCTTCCCGGGACACTCTTTCAACCGATTGTAGTGTGCATCTGGTGACAAGCCCCGCAGTTTACCGATCTGGGATATTTCTCTTTCGGCCAATGGGAAATATCATGATGATGATGACGGCGTCGCTGATGATGCTGATGATGCTGATGATGATAAAGATGGTGATGGTGATGGGGATGGTGATGATGATGTGGACGAGGCGGTGATGTTGATGACAATGATAATGGTGATGTTGATGTTGGAGGTGCTTATGATGGTGGTTGTGACGTTGATTAGGATGATGATGATGGTGATGGTGGTGATTGTGACTATGCTGATGATTGCGATGCTGTTGATGATGTTTATGATGACGGTGATGCTGATGACGGCGGTGATGATGAGTATGATGAGGATGATGCTGATGGTGGTGCTGATGATGCTGATGATACTGAATATGATGATGATGCTGATGTTGCTGCTGATGATGCTGGTGATGTTGCTGGTGATGGTGATGTAGAGGATGCTGCTGAAGATTATGATGCTGTTTGTGCTGGTCATGATGCTGCTGATGATGGCATGATGTTGTTGATGATGATGGTGATGAATAGGATGCTGATGCGGATGGGGGTGATGATGACGATGAGGATGATCATGATGATGTTGATGATGCTGATGATGATGATGATGATGATGAGGTTGATGAATATGCTGGTGGTGATGATGAGGATGATGATGAGGATGATGATGAGGAAGGGTCAAAAGGACGAGGAGGAGGATGATGAGGAGGAGGAGGAAAAGGAGGAGGATAAGGAGGAACATATGAAGAACATACGGAAGAGGAGGAGGAGGAGGAGGAGGAGGAGGAGGAGGAGGAGAACCGAGGTTGAAGGAGAGACGACGGGGACCGCTGGATCTCCCCCAGCGTTTCCAGGGCAGGCAGTCGCTGCCCCAGAACTTGCAGGTGCCGGCATTTGCGGCTTCAGCGGCTGCGCAGCCGCGCCAGGAGCCTCCGGGGGGAGGGGGATTCTTGCAGGCTTCGGGGGCAGAGTTAAAGGGGGATAGGCTCATCCGCGAACGCATCGGCCCCAAATCGCCCATTCATCGCCGATGGGGGCCTGCCAGCTCACCCCGTCAAGGGCCGTGCGGATTTGCGATCGGGGGCCGATCGCCGATCAATCGGCGAGGTATCGCCGATTCAAGCTCGACGTTCCCTCCCCCTGAGCTGGTTCTCTTCTACTGGTGTCCCTCAACGATCTTGGCTGTGTCCCGTGTCAGAGCTCGCTCACGGTCTGTCGTCTGAGCGACCAGGGGCCAAGCCGCTCGTGAAACAAGTCTGGGGGGCCTGCCAGGGCTGCCCAGAGAGGACGTCTCGCGGGGGGCGAGGGGAGGCAGAGGGCGGCGACGAGAGACGGAGGGGTTGGCTGGGAGGAGGCAGGCCCCCTGGGCCAGAGCCGCACTGCAGAGAGGCCAGCTGCCGCGGTCCGGCGCAGGCAGACGACAGCGGTCGCGCAGGCGCGATACCATGGCCGGCGGGACGAGGCAGGCGCGCAGTCGGGGGGCGAGGGCGGGCAGGAGGCACGAGCAAGGGCAAGATCAACAGCATGCAGCCTGGGCGGGGCAGAGGGTCGGAGGGACGGCCGCCCGCGACGAAACATTGGCCGACGCCCAGGGGAGCCACCGACGCCGACCGTGGGAGACCAGCGCTAGCGGTGCCGGTCGGAGTGGTCGGTTGGGCCGGGTGGCCGCGTGAGTGCGGGCTCGTCGTGAGGAGCCGGGGGTGGGCGGCGCCAGCTGCCGCGCTGCCGCTTGGGTGGCAGGGGTCCCGCGGGCAAAATGCCACCCGCCCCGCGGCAGCCAGCCAACGCGGTAGCCCGCCCCCGCGGTCGGAGGGCTCGCTTGGTCGCGCGGGTGGCCAGTGAGCCTTTCGAAGTGGCGACCGCGGGAGGCCGATCCGCAGACCATTGCCGATTTGTGCGCTCCGAGGGACCATGAGCTTGCCTATGGCACATCCCGGAGTTCTTCACGCTCTCCGGGTGTTCTGGAAGTCTCGCTGCCCGCTCCTCCACTTCTCCTCCTGCCTTCCCCGCCCCTGTGCCTGATTCGCTTTGGACGCGCCCCGCCGCTGGCTCGACCGTCTGCTGGACCCAGCTCTCTGCTGATCAAAAGTGCGCTCCGAAGGCACCAGGCGCGACGACGTGGCGTCATCGCGCGCCCCTTTCTGCCACGTCACCCCTGGTCGCAGCCGGTGCAAGGCCCCAGTACAGGCGTAGCACAAGGAACGGCCGAACTCTTCGGGTCCTGCTCTTGCCGTTTTGCGTGGCCGCCAGCAGTGACTCTCGTCGTGACGGTCGGATTCGCTTCGGATGATTGGTCGAGGCGATGTCTGGTCGGGGTCCGCAGACCGAGTTCGACAGGACATCGGCCGTGGTGGAGGCAGCTCTTGTTTTCTGAATCTTGAGCGGGCAGGTTGGAGGAGCAAGCGTGGAGACTGCGAGCGGAGCAGGGAGTTCGTGTGGCTTGCCAGGGCTCAGTCATCCATCCATCGGTGGCTCTGGCTTGAAATGCCGAGGAGTGTTTGGTGCGTGATGTCCACCAGGGATTCGGGAGGCGCTCGGTTCTGGTTGTCGGAACCTCAGTACGGTAGGGTTCGGGGCAGTGCAGTCTCCCACTCGCGTGCTGAATCAGCTGGGCACGTCAGAGCTATGGACTACCAGCCGCCTCAGTGGACACGGCGACTGGCCCGCTGCAACGGGAGGCCAGTCGCCGCGTGTGCGGGAGGGGGAGGGCCAGCAGGTTCTCTTGTGCTTCCTGCGGTTTTGCACTTGCTTCGGGCCCGTTTTGGTGTCCCCGGGCCTTGTGCCTGCTGAATCCTCAAGAGCTTCGTGGTTTTGAATCATGTTTGCCTGTCTTGGGGCATTTGGGATGAAGTTGCATTTGCTTCCCCCCCATCTGTCTCCTCACCGAGAAGCTTTTGAGGACTGCCGGACCTGACCCGAATCGCCGTTGCCACGCCCGCCGCTGCCGAGGAGTATGGCGGCGCGGACAGCCAGGTGCTTCTATCCTCCATTCTGGTCTGCCTGTCGCTCGTGCTCATGGTTGGAGGCCTCTTGCAATGGGTGAGGGAGGGAGGGAGGGAGAGAGGGAGGGAGGGAGGGAGGAGGAGGGAGGAGGAGGGAGGAGGAGGGAGGAGGAGGGAGGAGGAGGGAGGAGGAGGGAGGGGAGGAGGAGGGAGGTGCGCGCGCCACCCCCTGCGCTCGCACGCACCTTTGCCCCTCGATGGGCGAGGCCGGCCCGGGGCCTCGCCGGAGAGGGGCTCCCGGAGGCACAGGAGCAAGAGCTCATGATAGTGCTGCGCTCCAGGATTTCCGGAGGAGGAGGAGGGAGAGGATGATGATGAGGAGGGGGGTGGGGAGAGGAGGAAGGGGGGGAAGGATGAGGCTGATAGTGGATGAGGAGGATGGGGGGGGGAAGATGCTGGTGATTAGGAGGAGGAAGAGGGGGATGAGACGAGGCTGCGGTGTTAGATCTGGCATGTCGATTGTGTCGGTTACGGTTCTGCACGGGCTGCAGAAACGAAGGCCGCTGGATGCTCCGGAGTTTCTGGAACGTATCCTGAGCCAACCGCATGCTGACATCATTCTCATCCTACGGAGGGGCCCCACCATGGACGGTCTCGGCGGTGCCAGGGGTCCATTCGGGTCTTGACGCGTCTTGGCGCCTCTCGGACGTATGTTTTCTCGGCGAGGCCAGCGCCAGAAGCTCTGGAGCATCTAGGACTTTGAATGGAGTTACAGGGGGGATTCTATAGCGAACGCTATATCCTACCGCCGCTACCTTGGCTCAAGCTATCCCTACCCCTGTTGCCTGTCTCACGCCAGTGAGACACTGTTAGATCTGAGCGTCGGATACAGGCCACATCCACCGATGATCCACTTCTTTGTCCAATGTCTTGTCTCTTACCTCTCATCTCGCTAGCTATCAAGGGATCAGCTATGGGATACCTCGATACGTTTCCGACGTTAGCGGAGCTGACCTCATCTTAATGTGGTTGGCTCTCACATCAGGTGTTATGTACATAGCCATTTACCACGGCACAGTGGAGTACCCGACTGCGCCGGCTATCAGCCACTACGCTCCCGATGTTCTTCAACCAGCTTGTAATGTACATTCCTACGCCGCCATCTTCCCACTGCGTGGCAACACGCCACGCACAGACCAAACACCGACACCCATTCGCAAACTGGCGACCACGTCGGACCGGACACCCAGTCGCAGCCCCACCGGTGCGACAAACGCCAACGATGCCAATTTGACATCATCAGCTACAATATGACCATGCACTATGTCAAGGTTGGTGTCTTTGGAATCATACTTGTGTGCCTGGGTGTTGCAGTGGGATACATGCGCGGGAGCACGCAAGCAACGCACTTTTCCGCGATTTTGTTCGTGACGTACACGCATGATTCAACGTCACGAGTGGAAGCATGACTCCACCCCAACAGGCCACTGCACTACAGCGCGGCTTAGGGGGCTTATATAGGACACTGGCTATGAGGGTGCCGTCTACAATCATCATCTACGGTGTTGCCTTACAGGGTAGATCTTCCGACGGGGTCACATGCATCATGTACCTTCGATACACCAACTTCGAGAACCGTGAGGACGAGCGGCAGCTCACCTCGGGCACAGTCCTCATCGACTTCAGGGTCGATCGGGTCGAACGCATCGACTTAGAACTGGCCCGATTTGAAATAGCCAGGCTGGAGGCGGACTCCGCGGTCTTCAACGTGCCCAACTTTCAGATCTTGACGCCGATTATATTTCGTGCCCTCTGAATTGGTCCCTCCGGGGCAGCACAGCTGTTGCAACCGCTCAACAGCAGATGCCCCGTACCCAACAACGTTACAATCAACTCCTAGAGCGCGTGCGCAGCCATGGGCACTTGGCTGAACGCTCCCCAGGAAACATCGGGAGCATCTACAGGGGTCGCAGCGATGGCGCGTACCATAAGCGACACACCGGCAGCCATGCCAAACAGCATCTGGAAGGATGGAGAGCCCACTGCATCCGCAACGCTTCCGGGCCAAGAAGCCAGTAACGCACAGTCTTCGGACTCCAACACAGGCTGGCCATCGGCTGCCACCGATGGCGCCGGCGGGCTTGCCGCCCGCGGGGGACGGTGGCATGGGCGCCCTGTCGGCCTTCGCCCACAGCGCAGAGGTTTGGGGCCCCATCTCAGCCGGGATGAGCCCGAGCGGGCGCGCGGCCGCCTTCCCCCAGCTGGGCGGAGGCGCGGCCGCCCCGAGCGGGCCGGCGGGGTCGCCCGCCCCAGCGAGAAGCTCGACGGCGGCGCGTGCTCAGTGGCTGCGGATGGAGCTGGACCTCCACGCCAACGCGCAGCCCCCGGACCCGTGGTGGGGCGTGCGCTCTTGGAGGAAGCGGACCTCGAGGCGGCGGGGTGTTTGTGTGCCGGCGTCCGTGCGGCGCTGCGAGCCCGCGGCTACGTGGGCGCCGCCGCGGCGGGCCCCCCCGACCCCGAGGTCCTTCGGGCGCTGCTGCGAGGCTGCGAGTCGGCTTCGACGGGCAGCTTCACGGGTGGCTTCACGCAGGGGGGCTTGACGTCCAGCAGCAACGGTGGCGTCTGGGCGCGCGCCTACCTCCTGATTTCCGACGCGCTGCTGGCGAGATCTATTGCAACGTGCGGAGTGCTGGCGCGACGTCGGTCCGCCATTGGCTGCAGGGGTACCGCGCTGGGTCCCAGCACGGCGCCGAGTGGCAGCACCTGTGGGCGGTGGACACCACGGTAGACTTCGTTGTTGGCGGCGTCGTCTCGGACCAGGAGCTGCGCCGGCGGCTGAACGCCGACGGCCAACTCGAGATGGCCCCGCGGTGCCTGCCCGCGCGCGTGCACGAGCAGCGCGCCAAATGCTACGTCGGAGGAGCTCGTCTCAGGGTGGTGGCAGCGCCCGCGGGCGCAGTGGGTGTCGCTCCCACTTGGATGGCGTTCGAGGCTACGCTGCGCTCCGATCGAGAGCACCAGCGAGCAGAGCGAGCGCATGCGGAGCTGCGTCGGCGAGGCAAAGGAGGCAACAGCGACCGCCCCAGGGGCGGGTCAGTCCACCTGCCGCCCCGACCCTGGGGATCGATCCTGGCAGCTGGGAATCGCCCCATCTCAACCAGTGCGACGGCTGCCCGTGCCAGGAGAAGGACATGCTACGGGAGGTGCGTCGGCGGCTGGCCCCCCATCTTGCAGTCTCCCATCTCCCTCGGGGCCGACCTTGTGCCGCGGGGGCGCGTTCTCGAGCTTGGGGGGGGGGGGGGCGGTGAATGCCTTCGAGACTCGAGCCAGCTGCCTGCCGACCCCGACCCTGCCGATGCCGCGGGCTTCCATGTCAAAGTCTGGTCGCATTCGACAGCGAGGGGCTTATCGGGGGTTCATCTGCAAGAAGGCGAATCAGATCATCGAGGGCATCGATGCAGCGTGTGCTGGATCATAGAAGCGACCAGCTGGTGGCAGAGCGCGCGCTGTGGATTTGAGGGCATGGCTCTGCCGCTTGGTTGGCTCAGCTGCGAGCGGCGAGGCGCCCCTAGGAGTCGGCCCCCGTTCGCCGGCCCGAGATGGCGACAGGCGCGCAGGCGCCGCGGGGTCTCCCCGAGCTGGGCGAGGCATCCCAGTGGGGGGGGGGGAAGAAGCTGGCGGTGCACGCGACCTTCGAGGCGGGCCGCGCCCCCCCTGAGGAAGCCGCCTTCGACCACGATGAGGATGACGTGGTCGATTGGAGAGGGAAGTCGCAGATCATCCAGGAGGAGCTCGAGCAGCACTGCGGCTTCTTCGGGGGGGCCGAAAGCGAGCGGGTCAAGAACCTGCGCCGCGCGGACCTGCCCCGCCATCTCCGGGGGCCCCGCGCCCGCGACCAGATCCGAGCTGTCAACGGCGCGAGCGCGGTGCGCCAGACGGGCCCGACGAAACTGAGGATAGCTGATCATGGCCGTGCCCGCGAACCACGCGCGGTGCGACGTGCGCCGCCGTGAGGGCCATGGCCAGGGTGGAGGCGTTGCTCTGGGCATGCTGCGGGCTCCCGACACTGCTCTCTACGCAGCGAGGTGCGACGAGTCAGCCGCCCTCTCCTCCGTCGTGGTGCCTGAGTGGATGTGGCCCTGGATGGTTGCGCCCGCTGTCTCGGCGTCTCTGGTGCGAAACTTCCTGCCCGCCGAGCTGGCGACCGTGGCGGTCTTCGAGCCCATCTTCCCATGTTGCGCTCGGCTGCCCATGGGGTCCTCGCGCCCGGTGCGCATCGTGATGGTGATCAACGTGCGCGCTTGGGCGCGCCCTGGTGGGCAGCTCTCGGCTGGCCGCGCCGGGGCCGACGCCCTCGCGGGAGCTGGGCGGGGCCGCGGAGGCGGGGTCACGAGTGGGTTGATCTGCGGCGCCAGAGGCGTGAGGGAAGGCCCGTGGACGGTGGTCTTGCGCTCGAGGAGTTTGCGGGGCAACTGCGCATGCGGAAGCTGCCCGACGGGGGGGCGATGATTGCCCCCGCGCGTCCTCGCGGGCCAGCGGCGCAGGGGTGACGCGCAGCAGTTCGCGGAGCAGTTCGGCGACCTGCGCGGGCTGAAGATCTCCCGCTTCAGCGCGGACCTCGCCCCCGACCGGGGGCGGGGCTTCAGCGGCCCGCGCGCGGGCGCCCTGGCGCTGCAGCTGGCCTCCCAGGGGTGCGTTGACGCGGTCCTGGCCGGGCCGCCGCGCGCGACCTGGGGCCGCGCCCGCTTCCGCCCAGGCGGCCCGCCGCCGCTCCGCTCGAGGCGGCGGCCGCCGGGCCCGGCGAACTCGGCGGCGGGCCAGCGGGGCAGGGTGGAGGAGGCCAAGGTGCTCCTGTTTAATTGTCTCGGGCTGCGTGAGGTTTCGGGCGTGGTTTTTCTTGTTTAATTGTCTCGGGCTGCGTGAGGTTTTCGGACGAATTCGTCCTCGAGCGCCCGGTCGACCCTGGGCGCGACCCCTGCCCCTCAATCTGGGCCCCGGGCGGAATCCGGGGCCTTGCTAAACGCTCAGAGGTCTCCGTGGTTGAGTCAGACCAGTGTGCGTTTGAGGGCGTGGCCCAGAAGCT